GCCGATGCCTCCGTCGCCTGGCTGGAGTGGCCGCGGGGGAGTCTGGAGTCGGGCGGCCGCTGGTGGGAGCCGCGGGTGCCCGGGCCGAGATTGGGGGGGCAAGGCGGGCGACAGAAGGCCGATGCCTCCGTCGCCCGGCCCTCTACAGAATCCACCCCCCAAACCTCCAGGTATTTCCCTCCTTAGAGCTGGCAACCCTACATTCCCCTCAGTGCCTGTTGGTAGGCAACTAAGCTTGGTCCTGTCACCTACTTTGGCCTTTGGGAGAAAACACATTGGGGCCAATCCTGATAGGGTTGCCAACTCCAGATGGGAAATTCCTGGAGGTTTGAGGGATGGAGCCTGAAGAGGGTGAGGTTTGAGGAGGGGTGGGACCTCAGACAGGTACACTGCCATAGACTCCACCCTCCAAACCAGTCAGTCTCACATAGGGAACCATTGTTGCCAATCTCCAGGTGAGGGCTGGAGAGCACTCAGTATTACAACTGCTCTGCAGAAGGGAGGGCAGAAGTCAGCTGAAGTCAAAGGGGCAGATAATGGTAGGTTGGTGGCTAGCTGGGAAGGAGATGGGGTTGCCAACTACATGCTGACAAATTCCTGGGGATTTGAGGGGTGGAGCCTGGAGAGGGTGGGGTTTGCAGAGGGGTGGGACCTCAGACAGGTAGAATGCCATAGACTCCACCCTCCAAACCAGCCATTTTGTCCTGGGTAACAATTGTTGCCAATCTCCAGGTGAGGGCTACAGATTACTCACAATTACAACTGCTCTTCAGGTAGCAGAGATCAGTTCCTCTGGAGAAAACAGTGGACTCTGTCATTATACCCTGCTGAGGTCACCACAGCAAATTGACACTGTTTGTCCAAAGCCAGAGCACTGCCCCAGAGCCTCTTTCTAGATCCCGTTGTATTGCTTTCACAACGGGCTTTACTGCTAGTATAATTATAAGCTTGATCCTTCTTCTTAGTCGCTTGAAGTTAGTAAATGTGCTGTGGCATTACCTGGACTGCAGTAGCATGTAATTAATACCAAAGAGAAATGCCATCTAGTGGCACAATGGAGACAGGGCATGCAAGACTTGTTCCTTTGCACTAGGGGTGTGCAAGAAAAAAAAATCGGTTGACTTCGGATTTGGGTACTTTTGACCCAAGACTATTCAGTATTTCAGAGTATTCCCAAATACTGGCAGGGCTTTTTTTTTCTGGGGAAACGCACTGTAACCTCTTTGACAATTTTTTAAAAAAATGTTTAAAAGTTCATGAGTTTTCAGTATAGAAATCGAAAACTTCCTTTCCCTCTTGAGAATTCTGGCATCTCTTAAAAAAAGAAAAAAGAAAGAAAGCCCTGAACAACCAGTATCGGTACTGTTCTGGTATTCGGGTTAATACTTGGGAAACCTGAATATATTTGGCTCCATTATACCCTATGCGGACCACTGTCCCCATAGGGTACAATGGAGAAGGGATTTAAAGTTTAAATCCCTGCTGGATTGACTTGTCTCATGCCACTGCTGCTTGGTGACTCTGCGACTCATCCCAGCAAGCATTTAAGTTTAAATCCCTGTGGGGAGAGCTTCTTCTGTGGGGTGATTTCAACCACACCACAGAAGAAGCCAGCGATGGGATCTGTACGGGCAGGGAGGACTCTCTCCCCGCTGTTCAGACCCAGTTGCCTGGCAGGGCTTCTTCTGCAGGGTGGTTTCAACCAACTCGCAGAAGCTGTACACGCCAGGGAAGGGATGGAAAGTTTAAACCCCTTCCTTGCTCTCTGGAGTCGCACTGCAGCTGCAGCCTGACTCTAGGAGGGGAGGGGCTTAAACTTTAAATCCCTTCCCTTCACTCGGGAAGCCCAAATAAAAGCCGAATAATATCAGCCGAACAATATCAGCTTTTATTTGGGCAGGGCTACTTTGGTAGCCAAATACAGATCTCTGATTTGTATTCAGCTGAATAAATACTACCAGCTAGCAGAGTAAACCCATACTGAAAAGGAAAACACACCCCGCCATGGATCCCGAGCAACCTTTTTTCACTGGCACAAAGATTTCTGGCTACAGAGCATGATATTCCCCTCTCCCCTCCCACAACAGCACGATATCCTGTTCCTGGGGTCCCACCCCACTGGGGGGGGGGAGACACCTTTCTTGGCTAAAGTTATCCATGGAACAAGTTTGGAACCCACTGGCTCAGTGTTGGCGATGAAGTAACTCCACTGCTGTCCCTAAGAGGTCCTTGGCCACAGGCAACTGTACACGACTTTGGCTCCTGGCCACACCGATCCACTCACCTGTATGAATGAGGATGTGTCTCTTGAGATGATAGCTGCTCCGGAAGGCACCGTAGCAGTGCTCGCAAATAAAGTTCTTGGGGATCCGGAGCTGGAAGGATCCATTCTGTTCGATCACCACCACCTGCAATTGCAGCACTCTTGGTTACCTTTATGGCTAGCACATAAATGTGCCTGGTCTAGGCCTGTAGCCTGAGGGCCATGCATCAGACCCACTGAGCTATGCCACCTGCCCTGCCAAATCTCTCCTCCAACTGCTGCTTCTAAAGCTTACTGCTGCTGCTGCTGGCACTCTAGTTGCAGTGCCATGTTTTCTGCACATGCATGCTTCACCGCAGAACCAGATGCTGGGGGGGGGGGGATATCCAGGATGCAGAGTCTCCCTCCTGCAGTTCAAAACATACCCAGCCTCAACTTCCATTCTAAAGCTTTCCAATGCAAACCTTGGCCAAGACGCACACGAGGAGGTTCCAAAGCACCACACATTCACAATGCCCCTTTCACGGCTATGTCGATCGTTGAACAGACACAACGCAGGTTGCTCTCACTGAGCCCAGTGTATTGCAAACCGTGAACAGACTGAGTGAAGAAACCGACTGGGGAAACAGCTTTGGGCCCTTTTGGTATCATGTGAGAATGAGTGGGGACCCAATGGAACTGACATGCAAAATGTGTAAAAGTGAACAGGAGTAACAGCTGGGATCCAACTTAGGCTCACGCAAGAGACTTGCTTTCGAACCACCGAGAGGCATCCTTGTGCTGAAAATGGCTTCTCTGAAACAATCCACAGTTTCAAAATTTTCCAAAGGAGGAAATGCCACTTGAGAGCAGCAAATCTAAAGAGGCCTCCCTTGTGTCCTTAGAACAAGTTTCATGGTTCTTTGGGGTTTTCACCCCATATTAACCAGAATCCAGAGCTGACCTGGGGCACTTCACTCAGGCTGGTCTCCAGCCTCCAGGAACTCGAAAGATTTTCTCAGCCAGACACCCCCCCCCCCGATGCACGGTTGCACTCCGGCACCCAGGAATCTGAGATATCTCTCCCACCCTGCTACTAATACCCAGAGCCGTCTGCTGCTCAGCTCTATGGGAAAGCAGAAGAGGTCGGAGAATGCGGTACTGGGCATGGAATTAGCTTCATTAAAATTCCGTTTAATTATAAATGAATTAAGGTGACAGATTTCTAGCCTTTGTGCCTGGGAAGGTATGTTGGAAAGTGTGCTGCTGACATCTCAGAAACCAGACGGATGTGTAAGATTTCTAGCATTGAAGGGTGAGGGCATCAGTTCCCTCTGCCATTCTGAGCAAAGACTAGCAACAGAATAAAAAGCATGTGTAACGAGCTACTATGGTCAAACAGAGAGTCAAGTTTGGTGTAGGGGTTAGGAACCTGGACTCTAATCTGACAGAACTGGGTTTGATTCCCCACTCCTCCACATGCAGCTGCTGGCATGACCTTGGGTCAGTCACAAGTTCTCTCAGAGCTGTTCTCTCAAGAGCAGTTCTTGAAAGAGCTCTCTCAGCCCCCACCTACCTCATGGGGTGGGGAAGGGAAAGGAGACTGTAAGCTGCTCTGAGACTTCTTTGGATAGTGAAGGGTGGGGTATAAACCCACTCTCTTCTTTTTCTTCAAATTGCATGATAACAAAGCGTTATCTTTTATCAGTATGGAATACGGATCACCTGGATGCACAAGTTTGTTTTTAAAAGACACAGCCCTATTAATATCCTGTAGTGGGTCACTACTAAAGATACTTCTTTTTTGCCTGTCCCAGAAAAATTACTAAAGGCAGGGTTTTTTTTATTTATGTGTTGTTCAAGGCTATCCCCACTGAGTCCAGGTTGTGGCTCCAAAGGACACCACCAGCTCTTGCAAGTCACAAAGCTATTTCACAGCTACTTCCCCACCACCACCACCCAGGTACTGCATTTTTAAAAAATTCTTCTCTCCCCGCATAGAGCCTAAAGAGGCACCTACCTACCACAAGTATGCAAGGCAGCTAACAGTGGCACAGGGCACCCTCCCACCATTTCCCTCTCACAACAACCCTTCAGGGTAAGACAGACAGCATCCGTCTGGCCCAAGGTCATTCAGTAAGCTTCAAGCCTGAACAGGAATTTGAAACCAGGTTTCCCCTATCAAAATTCCAGCACTTGAGCATCTACAACACACAAACTTTCTTTAAAGGTATGTCAGGATTTGCTCAATGAACATAAGAACATAAGAGACGCCAATGTTGGATCAGGCCAAAGGCCCATCCAGTCCAACACCCTGTGTCACACAGTGGCCAGAAATACCAGGTGCCATCAGGAGGTCCACCAGTGGGGCCAGGACATTAGAAGCCCTCCCACTGTTGAACCCCCAAGCACCAAGAAGACAGAGCATCACTTGCCCCAGAGCCCCTATCTATACCTTGTGGCTAATAACCACTGATGGACCTCTGCTCCATATGCTTATCCAATTCCCTCTTGAAGCCGTCCATGCTTGTAGCCACCACCACCTCCTGTGGCAGTGAATTCCGTGCGTGAATCACTCTTTGGGTGAAGAAGTACTTCCTTTTATCTGTTCTAACCCGACCACTCAGCAATTTCATGGAGTGCCCACGAGTTCTTGTATTGTGAGAAAGTGAATGGGAACTGGGGTCAGGATTAAAACCTGATTCCCTGTACTGACAGTTTCAAAGGGTAGCTGTGTTGGTCTGCAGCAGAACAGCCATACTTGAGTCCAGGGCTAAGAGACCAAAAAGATTTTCAGGGTATGAGCTCCTGAAGAGTCAAAGGTGCCCTCCGCGAGATGCAACTAAGGAAGCTTTGACTCCCAAAACCTCAGTACAATCCTAGGCAGAGTTACATCCTTCTAAGTCCACTGAAGTCAACAGGGGGAAACACTGTTTAGGGCTGTGGTTTTGAGCTTCCTACGGCACCCTCATATGGCTTCAATTTGAAGATTTTCTGGATGCTTTACATTCAGGACAAGTTTGTACATGCGCATCAGTGCTCAGATGCACCGATTCACAATGCTGCCATCCCCAGAAGTCACAAGGCAACTGCTCTGATCCCCACTAGATTACACAACAGATCTGGGAAGATCACATGGTCTATGCAGGTGAGAATTCCCATAAGGCAGAAGCTCTGCAACAGCCCCCAGCAAGGCAGCATGTCTGTCTTTGAGTACTGCCTCCTGCACTCCCAAGTTACTCCTAATGTGTGGAATGGAAGTTCCTATGTTTCCTGTTCTTCAGTGGCCCACACCTCAATTGGAACAAGGCTTGCATTTGGATAAAGCATTTTAAAGCAACCAATTGGCAGGTGGTGGTGGACTCGATTACTGCTGTCCAGTGAAGGAAAATGCCCATTAATCTGAGCAATGGTCGATTCTAAGCTTCAAAGGTACCCTTCTAGACCCACAAGGTGTACCATACGACGGCTCTGTAGGGACAGGAAGATGGTTCTGGCTAGGCCGTACTATGTAAGATTACCTGCCTTTTTAAGGGACTTTTTAGGTTGGGACCCTTCTGTTGTTTCTTCTTCCTTCCGGCTGCGAGATTTCTCACTCTCTTTGCGGTGACCCTTTGCAGACAGAAAGCGGGACAGCAAGTCAGACCAATGCCAGCAACGTCACCCCCCCCCCCACAGGCCTACACGCCATGTTCCCTGTCCTGACTCCTTCTGCTTTGTCACCCCACTGGCACAAACAGAAGAGGGCACCTAGGAGCAGATAAGCTGTAAATGGGCTGCCCCATACCAACATATCTGGTGCACCCCCTCTCTCTCCGTTCTCCACCTGCTTGGAGCTTTGCTTCGGCATCATCTTCTTGCTGGCAACAGTTGGCACGAGGCAAACCCCAGAGAGACCCTCGCAGGCCAGGAGACTTGCCTAGGGAGAGACAAATACAAAGTGAGGAGGGGAAGCTGAGTGCGGTCCGAGGTAGCAAGCTGGCAAGAGGACGGGCCTGCCCTTTCTTTCTAAGCTGTTGTCTGCAACGCGATTTGTGGTACCTTTTCCTACAAAGGTTACGCAAGGAATTGTGGAAGCGAGGGGGGGGGGATTTGGAAATCCCTTGCACGCAACTGAAAACCTGCCCCCCCAAGTCCCCCACCTCCCTGTAGCATCTCCCCCACCCCCCTTTAACTGACTCTCCATTGCTGCCCATTCTGCATCATGTTGTTTTGTGTAGTTTTCCCCGTCTTTCTTTTGGCTAAATTTACAAAGTTATTTTTCTACCCACCTGGGGCACCCTCCTCCCAAGTATGTAGGTTGCCTTGTCTGTGGGCTGCCTGGCTTTGCAACTTTTATCATTATTGGTATATAAGCCACTAACTTTACTATCTGGTAAACAGAATACCAGCACCTACTGGAGAGTGAGCCTCAAGTTAGGCCCAGTGAAATGCAGTTAAATGTTCCCAACAAAGAAAACATGAACCCACTTTATACGCACACTTCTTTTCTTTCCTGGCACTCAAGAGACCAGAGTTTAAATATTTTAGACTGTTTCCTTCCCCCTTGCCTATCCCCTGCAAAAGGGGACCCAAAGAGATCTCAATCAACATAACCGTGCAAATAAGTCTATGATCATTCCTAGTCAGCTCGCAGTCCTGTCCCTTAAAAAGAAAAGAAAGGAGACAGATATGTACAACTTCACCCCTGGTGAATGTACCATTCACATGTGCAGGAGCATGAGAATGGGGGAGCAGGAACCATGAGTTGATGGAATGGGCTACATCATCCTGAAGTAGAAGCCCAGCTGTTTACTGACATCTGTTTCAGGGTTGAACATTCCTTTGCATTAAAAAAAGAACTCCAAGTGCCTATCAAAGCAGGAAGAAAAGCTGTATTCTCCTTCTTAGCCTGCTGTGCTAATTTTTGTATTTGCAGGGTATTTTTAATGTAAGGGAGCAGTCTTCCATTTGAAGTCTGGAGCGGCCCATTCTACCACCTCAGTCCCCTGCATGCATGAATGAGGTCCTACTCGCCACTGGTGACCTTGCAGGCTGCTATTTATAAGCCTCCCATAGCACTGGTACAGATCTTGCGGCCTACAAAGGTGTATGCGGCAATATGCTGGCAGATCTAGAAAGTTATCTCCATGCATCATTTACCGGATGGGTATTCCAAGTATCTTACAGAAACATCCCTAAGTCTTAAGGGTGGCCGTGTGTGTGGAAAAACTAAGCTTCCATGTGAGGAGCAGGGAAGAATGAAAGATAGGTAGCTCAGGTTACAGCACTGGATTTCCTCCTGCAGATCTTACTTGCTTCAAAAACCTGTGCAAGGGGAAAGCAAGGAAACAGCAGAAGCTAACACCTTTGAGGTACCACAGGTGTGATGTCTGCACCTGGCCAAGCCCCCCGAGACCCAGAGTTCATCACAGTTTGATCTTTCTTACATCAAAGATGCAGCCTTTAGAGGCCGCCATCTGGCTGCTTCTAAGCATTAATTTTCAAAAGGCACCTAAGGAAGGCAATGCTGGAAGAGATCCTCAAAGGAAAACAAAGAAAGCAGAAAGAGATGCAAGGAAGGCTGTGGAGCAACTGGCCCCTCCACGGCCGAAGCTGAAGGATATACATCCCAAATCCCTTTGGCTGTCGGGACCAATGCGGTCATCTCCGCAGAAGGGTGGGTACGCAGTTGGGTGGCAAGCTAGGGAATTCATTGCACAAAAGGAGCTAGGCCAAAGTTTGTGCCAAACAAGGAGTAAAAATGGATGCAATGAAAGCACTGCGGTATTTAATGACCTAAAATTATTCAAACCGAAGTTAGAGCATCGCCACTTGACAAGGTGGAAAAGAGCGGGAGGAAATGATCAATTCATTCTGCCTACCACTCTTAAAAACCCACTGCGGGAACTGTTTTGAGTCTCCCTGCTGCCTCTTTGGTGCTCTGCTCATCCTAAGGATCTGGGACAGTCTTCGAAGTTATAATGCTAATGGGAGAAAAACAAAACTAACAGGGAACATTTGGGCCTACACACAGAAGTAAACAAAGTCAACCCTGGAACAGATTCATGCATTTATCGACGATGTCCTTACACGTGCAAAGCCTTGTTCCTAAAAAAATACACTTGATAATGGGGAGTCAATTTCCTCATGTGCACAAATTAAAATACGTTTTGATATGACATCCACTTGTAAACTCTCTACTTTCAACTGCGGACAGTTTTACTACTCTCTGAGCCAATTCGAGCCCCTGTTGTTGGCTGGCAGGGGTGGGGGTGAGGGAGGGCAGGACACAAATATTTCAACTAATTAAGCCAAACGGAGGCCAGCCCAGACAGCTTTCTCGAGCTCTGGCAGGTTCTGAACACTGCACCACAATGCAGGGAAACCAGGTGCAAAGCCATCCATTGCTCTTGAAACTGACCGGAGTTGGTATGGCTAACTGGAGACCTGCAGGCAGCATCTGGCTGACACAGTGGTGACTCTGTCCAGATTCCACAACCACTTACTGTACCATGCTAGTGTCCTACTAAAGTTGAGGAACAGGAAGGACTAAGGGAGAAAAAGGGAGCCTTAGCATTCCCCTGTAAGGAGCTTCTGCAAAAGTGGAAGTGCCTTCCACTTCCCACTGGCCTCTACACCGACCACGAAAAAGCTGCTAAGCTCAACACAGAGAGACAAGGATTCAGGACTCAACACAGAGAGACAAGCGGGTTGGAGGAGGATAGCAAGCCACTGCGCCACTGGCCATGAAGAGCTAAACGGTTCATGTTACACGGAGCAGGTTCACCACTGTGGGCCTTTCATAGCCACCTCCTGTAATGAAGAATTCCTGTTGGACAGGGTGGGAGAACCAGGGCCTGTTACCTGAGCCATCGCGTTAGTCTGACAGTCCTCAACACGTAGATTACGCCAAGTCCTTACGCTTTTTCTCTCTCGCCCACGAAAGAATTTTACGACTACAAAGATTTTTCAGTAAATCGTTTCTGCGCTGGTCCCGTCCAATACCTTCCACTTTGTTGACATCTTTCTGGAGTCGGAGAGCCCAGAACGGCACGCAGCGAGTTCCCCCCCCCCAGTGACTTTAAAGCTGGGGAAAGCTACAGACTGCGCTGCTGCGGACAGGTCACACCAAACCTAACTCCTCCGGCTGGATGGCCCACCCTGGAGAAAAGGATGCCAAGGTCCTTCTTGCACGGCCGCTGTGGTTATCACCGTGTTTCCTCCTCTAGTTTGAGCCTGCAGATTAAGAAAGGTTTATTGACCCACCTGTCTGGAAAGGGACAGAGAGAAATACAGGTTGATCAGGGCGTCAAAGAACCATCAAAGCCAGGATGAAATACATGACAGCACCAAGCCGTGTGTTTTAGCTAGTCATTTCTGAATCTTCCTACGTTATAGTGCAGGGGTGGCCAAACTGTGGCTTTGGAGCCACATGCGGCTCTTTCACACATATTGTGCGGCTCCTGGCTGGGAAAGCTAAATATCATTAGCAAACAAATATCATTGGACAAATAAATATCATTATCAAATATCTGCTTTTACAGCTTTTGTTATTATTTTTGGCAGTCTCATTTAATGTTAATAACAAGCAAATTCGCATATCTCCCAGTAAAAACGTGTAGTATTTGCTCATGTCTTGTGGCTCTCGAACATCTGACATTTATTCTATGTGGCTCTTAAGTTAAGCAATTTTGGCCACCCCTCTTATAGTGCAACTGAGAAAACACAGTAAACATGCTGTTGTGAGTTGTAACCCTACCAAGCACAACTCCAATCTGCAATCAAATAATACAGAAGCAAATACTTGATGCGAGACTAAAACCCAGTGTAACCGTGTAAACAGCTATGTTACAATGACCAGATAGCTAACCTTAGCTACTCCACACCCAGGAATATTAGCAACACAGAGAATGATAAATTTGCATAGCGTAAACGGCCTGAATATCATATGCAGAAATTCTCTAGGCCTTCCAAAAACAAAGGCAACATTCCGCTCCTATCTCATACATTTTTATCCCACCCTTCCTCCAAGGACCTCAGGGCATCATACACAGGTCTCCGCTCCTCCAGTTTATACTCACAACAACCCTGTGAGGTAGCCGAGGCTGAGAGTGTGCACAACCCAAGGTCTCCCAGTGCACTTCCATGGCAGAACGGGAATTCAAACCTGGGCCTCCCAGATCCTAGTGTTATGCTGTAATCACTACACCCATTCTGACTCACATCATTAGGAAAGCAAACTTGAGGTCCTGCGATTTCTGTGCATTTGCTTAAATGCAGCCATTTGAGGGAATATGCATAAGTCAGGCACTTAACTAGCACCTGCATAAGAGAACCAATGTGATATGGTGGTCACAAGGGCCAATGGGGTAACCTGTTAGCTCTACTGCAGTAATACATGAATAGGAATCTGACAAAATTCCCCTGATGGAAAGATCTAGCTAAAGTTCATAATGTGTGACAATTTTTACTACACAATCATCATTGTGTGGGAAGCATTCACAGACCAGATGGGAGGGAATGTTCCCTCTAAGCTGTGGTGTCTTGTGAGCAAAAATTCTACTTTGTGAGCTACTGGCATTAAAGATGTGAGCGAGTGATTGGGCTGCTGCATAAATTAGTTTGCTCTGGAGCCCTCCTTCCTGAGCTAAGACAAAAATGTGTGAGCTGGAGGCTAAAGAACTGTGCGCTAGCTCACACTAACTCAGCTTAGAGGGAATACTGGAGGGAACTGCAAATTTTTAATTACTGTATAATGCTAGATATGTTTTTTATATGTTTTTATGGTTTTAGAATGGTGTACATTGCCTAGAGCCCCATGGTCATGGGGATTAGGCGATCAATAAATGTAATAAAATAAATAAATAGTGCTGTTTTATAGAATTAGAAAATCAAACAGTCCTCCCCCCTCCCCGAGCAGTTTACAATTTAACCTGCAAGGGTCTCAAGATGTTAATATAAGGAAACACTGTCAAAGGTGCTCATGCTCTTATGTATTTTGAAATGAAGAATGAAGGGAAGGAGTTCCTTAAAACGCAGCCTCAACGTTGTTCAGGGCTGCTTCAAGTAGATGTCATTCCAAGGGGGAGAAAGAACAATCATGCAAGGGATCTTTCAGCACACACTCCCCCCCCCATATGCAGGACCCTATACTTTTGTTCCTTCTTAAGATCTTCATACAGCTTTCATAAACACATGAAGCTGGTTTACCGTGAGACAAACCACTGGCTTACCAAGGCCAGTCTTTCTACTTGGATTGCCAGCTGCTCTCCAAGGTCTCACGAACAAGTCTTTCATAGCAACCACTACCTCTTCCTTTCAGCTGAAGATGCCAGGGACTGAACCTTGCACTTCCTGAGCCACAGCATCAGCCCCATCACCTGAGGTCCAATACAAAGAAGGACCCTCTACTTAGCAACTCTGTATTTTGTGAAGCAGCCCTAAACTTGACAAAAACAACAACAACAAAATCCCAAGAAAGGGGACGCTTATCTTATTGTAGATGAGTACCATCCATTCACTTCCCTCAATGTGACACATATGAAGAATATATAGATTGTGTTTTCTATATATAGTAGCAGCCTCAGTCTGCCAGGGAACTCATTTTGACAAAACAGTTGGTGTCTCAAGGAACAGGATTTTTTGTTTAGTTTTGTTGTTGTTTTGCCTAAATGTAACCAAAGAAAACTGAACAGAACTAGTGCATCTTGGACTGATGTTTGAATCCCGTTCTGCCATGTAAGTCCACTAGGTGACCTTGGGCTGGTCACTCTCCAAGTCAACCTGACATACCTCACAGGGTGGTTGTTGTGAGGCCAAAAGGGGCAAAAGGAGAGCACTGTGGTAAGGTATTCTGGGTCTCTGAAGAGCAGAAAAACAGGTTATAACAATCTAAAGAAGACCGACAGACAAGGATTGGCCCCATATGTGAGTTTAGAAGAGAAATGGCTGAAAAGGACGCCACCGCATAAACGCCGAGAGCTGGCTGCATATTATTCTATGTGGCTCTTAAGTTAAGCAATTTTGGCCACCCCTCTTATAGTGCAACTGAGAAAACACAGTAAACATGCTGTTGTGAGTTGTAACCCTACCAAGCACAACTCCAATCTGCAATCAAATAATACAGAAGCAAATACTTGATGCGAGACTAAAACCCAGTGTAACCGTGTAAACAGCTATGTTACAATGACCAGATAGCTAACCTTAGCTACTCCACACCCAGGAATATTAGCAACACAGAGAATGATAAATTTGCATAGCGTAAACGGCCTGAATATCATATGCAGAAATTCTCTAGGCCTTCCAAAAACAAAGGCAACATTCCGCTCCTATCTCATACATTTTTATCCCACCCTTCCTCCAAGGACCTCAGGGCATCATACACAGGTCTCCGCTCCTCCAGTTTATACTCACAACAACCCTGTGAGGTAGCCGAGGCTGAGAGTGTGCACAACCCAAGGTCTCCCAGTGCACTTCCATGGCAGAACGGGAATTCAAACCTGGGCCTCCCAGATCCTAGTGTTATGCTGTAATCACTACACCCATTCTGACTCACATCATTAGGAAAGCAAACTTGAGGTCCTGCGATTTCTGTGCATTTGCTTAAATGCAGCCATTTGAGGGAATATGCATAAGTCAGGCACTTAACTAGCACCTGCATAAGAGAACCAATGTGATATGGTGGTCACAAGGGCCAATGGGGTAACCTGTTAGCTCTACTGCAGTAATACATGAATAGGAATCTGACAAAATTCCCCTGATGGAAAGATCTAGCTAAAGTTCATAATGTGTGACAATTTTTACTACACAATCATCATTGTGTGGGAAGCATTCACAGACCAGATGGGAGGGAATGTTCCCTCTAAGCTGTGGTGTCTTGTGAGCAAAAATTCTACTTTGTGAGCTACTGGCATTAAAGATGTGAGCGAGTGATTGGGCTGCTGCATAAATTAGTTTGCTCTGGAGCCCTCCTTCCTGAGCTAAGACAAAAATGTGTGAGCTGGAGGCTAAAGAACTGTGCGCTAGCTCACACTAACTCAGCTTAGAGGGAATACTGGAGGGAACTGCAAATTTTTAATTACTGTATAATGCTAGATATGTTTTTTATATGTTTTTATGGTTTTAGAATGGTGTACATTGCCTAGAGCCCCATGGTCATGGGGATTAGGCGATCAATAAATGTAATAAAATAAATAAATAGTGCTGTTTTATAGAATTAGAAAATCAAACAGTCCTCCCCCCTCCCCGAGCAGTTTACAATTTAACCTGCAAGGGTCTCAAGATGTTAATATAAGGAAACGCTGTCAAATGTGCTTAGCTCTTATGCATTTTGAAATGAAGAATGAATGAAGGGCTTTGGAAGGAGTTCCTTAAAACGCGGCCTCAACATTGTTCAGGGCTGCTTCAAGTAGATGTCATTCCAAGGGGGAGAAAGAACAATCATGCAAGGGATCTTTCAGCACACACTCCCCCCCCCATATGCAGGACCCTATACTTTTGTTCCTTCTTAAGATCTTCATACAGCTTTCATAAACACATGAAGCTGGTTTACCGTGAGACAAACCACTGGCTTACCAAGGCCAGTCTTTCTACTTGGACTGCCAGCTGCTCTCCAAGGTCTCACGAACAAGTCTTTCATAGCAACCACTACCTCTTCCTTTCAGCTGAAGATGCCAGGGACTGAACCTTGCACTTCCTGAGCCACAGCATCAGCCCCATCACCTGAGGTCCAATACAAAGAAGGACCCTCTACTTAGCAACTCTGTATTTTGTGAAGCAGCCCTAAACTTGACAAAAACAACAACAACAAAATCCCAAGAAAGGGGACGCTTATCTTTTTGTAGATGAGTACCATCCATTCACTTCCCTCAATGTGACACATATGAAGAATATATAGATTGTGTTTTCTATATATAGTAGCAGCCTCAGTCTGCCAGGGAACTCATTTTGACAAAACAGTTGGTGTCTCAAGGAACAGGATTTTTTGTTTAGTTTTGTTGTTGTTTTGCCTAAATGTAACCAAAGAAAACTGAACAGAACTAGTGCATCTTGGACTGATGTTTGAATCCCGTTCTGCCATGTAAGTCCACTAGGTGACCTTGGGCTGGTCACTCTCCAAGTCAACCTGACATACCTCACAGGGTGGTTGTTGTGAGGCCAAAAGGGGCAAAAGGAGAGCACTGTGGTAAGGTATTCTGGGTCTCTGAAGAGCAGAAAAACAGGTTATAACAATCTAAAGAAGACCGACAGACAAGGATTGGCCCCATATGTGAGTTTAGAAGAGAAATGGCTGAAAAGGACGCCACCGCATAAACGCCGAGAGCTGGCTGCATATAACTTTAAAAAGACCCAAAAAGCCAAAACAAAACACTGCTGCAAAAAAAATGCAAGCGGCGTGCACGGGGGCGGTCAAAGCAGCAGAACTTGACGTGCCAGAAGGAATGCGGGGAGGCGGCGAGCGCGCAGCGAACACTGGCCCACCGGATCGCGAAAAGGAAGGTCGCGCCACACGACAAGCTTCCCATCCCGCAAGAAGGCAGCGCGATGCACGCGCGAGAAGAACAGGTGCCAGGGCCGGAGCAAAGCCATGCTCGGTGGCTTGCACCAAGAACAGCTGCCACCGAACCACCCACGCTCCCTCACTCACCCTCTCCGCCTTGTTCCCAGCTGCTGTCCTCCACCATTGCCACCATCTGTGGCCTCCCCGCTATGTCCTCGTAGTGGTGGCAGAGGGAGCTGAGGAGGAGGAGGTGGCTTTCAAGGCAAGCGTGAGTGGCTCCTGCTCTTTTGAAGGAGGAACTGCTCGTGCCTGCTCTGCAAGCCACAAGATCGTAGCTTGCAAGGCAAGCACGAGTGGCTCCCGCTCTTTTGAAGCAGGAACTGCTCGTGCCTGCTCTGCAAGCCACGAGATCGCAGCTTGCAAGGCAATCACGAGTGGCTCCCCCTCTTTTGAAGCATGAACTGCTCACGCCTGCCCTGCAAGCCATGAGATTGTGGCTTGCAAGGCAAGCATGAACGGCTACCGCTCTTTTGAAGCAGGAACTGCTTGCGGCTTGCAAAGCAAGGAACTGCTCGTAGCTGGCAAGGCAAGCGTGAATGGCTCCCACTCTTTTGAAGCAGGAACTACGCACGCGCCCGGGTGTGCCGGGCCAGAGGCAGGCGCCCAGTTGTTGTGCACGCGCGCGGGAGAGGCAGCGTGGCTCTTCCCCCTCCCCTCCCGCCGCTTATCGACTCCGGTACCTGACTCCGCTTGCCGTTGCTCCACGCTCCCCTTCCCCTGTAGGAGGGGAAGGACAAGTTCGAGCACAGCCACCCCCGCCGTCGAATACTCCCGGCCCCTGCAGCCACCGTCGCCGCCGCCACTGCTCCGGAAGCGGAACATAGGAGCCCGGTACACCCAGGCAACCAGTTCCGCTCGGTGCTTACTAGTGCGCGCGCGTTGAGAGACTCCTTGGAATTCCCGCCGCCGCCGCCATCTTGGTAGAGGGCAGAAAGAAGAAACTGTTACCAAGGTTACCAGGCGTAGAAATGCAGATTTAACAAAGACCGAGGCCCCCTGCAGTCACGGCGGGGTATAGCCCCCCACTGCTTTAGAAGCCCTGGTTTACACGTGCAAGCGAAAACAAAAGTCCAGTGGCGTCTTAAAGAGTAAAGCTCAAATTGAGAGAGATATATATTTTTTAAAAGTAAGGTGCTCTGTGGGCTTTTGTTTTATTTCGCTGCAACAGACTAACACAGCCAGCCATCTTTAATCACACATCAAGGAGTCTGTGGTAATAGACTGTGGGCAGATTCCCGTTTTGAATGTTGTTTCACATCGTCCATAAAAAATTTTGCTTGAATAAAAATTTTGCTGCCTGGTTACCCCTCTTGAATTATTTCCGCATCAACAGAAAGCTAGCCCAGCAGGGCGTCCTCCTTTCTCTGCTTGCTCTGCTGGTTTTCTGTGTGTGTGGGGGGGAAACACAGATCCTTCATCTACACTCAGACATTGTAATGTATCCATATCAGACCCAGGCAAAGCAACCGCTCTCAGTAACAATGGGACAAGCGGATCCGGGGCCAGGAGCCTATGGAACTCTCGGCCACTGTAAATAGCCAATCACTTGTGTGTGGGTGTATTTGGGGAGTGGGGTTTGTGCACATATAAACCATCCTGTGAGCTGGGTACTCTGGTCTTGTTCTGAGCTGAAATAAAGTATGAGAGCTGAATTCACTAGTAAGTCTCAGTACTTTTCACTTGCGAGGAAGGTGGGATTCTAACTCCCATGAACAACGACCCGGACGAAGATTCGAGCACTCCTGCAGCGACCCCCAACACGGAGCCCACCGCAAGCCGCTCTGCTTCGCATCCTGGTTCTCCGGTCGCCGCTCACCGCTCCGCTCCTTGCTCCGTACCTCGCTCTGCTGACCCCGAGAGCAGCAGCACTTTCCGTCTCGCTCCAGCTGCTGACGCCGCTCCCAAGCTACCCTCACCACCTGGACGCAGTACTATGGCTACCTCCCAGGAGAGCATCACCGCTTTCGACATCTCCCGCCCCTCACAGTGGGAGACCTGACTCGAGATCCTGGAGAGCTACTTCGACTGCCACGAGATCGTAGACCCGGGTAAGAAAAAAGCCCATCTCCTCCGGTCCTGTGGCATAGACACCATCTTGCTTCTTAAGGACCTCATTGCGCCAAAGCAGACCAAGGACAAGTCCTATGTGGTGCTGGTGAAAGCGCTGACCGACCACCTTTCACCACAAAGTTTGCCGAGCGCATGGAGGACACCTTGCTGAACCAGTTCCACCTATGTGGTGCTGGTGAAAGCGCTGACCTACCACCTTTCACCAAAGGCCACAACGTTTGCCGAGCGCATGGACTTTTTTGTGCGAGTCCAGGGGCTGGACGAGCCGGCCTCTGAGTGCTTGGCCGGGCTCCGGCAGGCGGCCACCAGGTGTTCCTTTCCCCATCTGGAGGACACCTTGCTGAACCAGTTCCTTTTGGGTCTCCGGGAACCCAAACTCCGTAGGAAACTGG